GTGTGTGTGTGTGTGTGTGAGAGAGAGAGAGAGAGAGAGAGAGAGAGGGAGAGAGAGAGATTGCCCATTATTCTTTATCTCCCTCAATAAAATCCTGAGGTTTCTAATTTCAAGAAACTGTGACTCTTGTGTGTTGGAGAGGGGTGAGGTAAGGGAATGGAAGAAAAGGACAGGACTATAGTTTGCTGAGCAGTCACTGAAAATCTGGTATGTCAGGTCAAATAATTTCTCCTGGGGGAGAAGCTTCTTCAGGATACTTCTAGGGTTTCCCCTGACGTCCATTGGTTCAGACCTGGTCTGGATTGGAACTGACCCCTCTATCTGATGAATTCAACAGATATCTATTGAGTGTCTAATATGTGGACAGAATTCATCATTTCTTCCTGACCCAACCTGTCCTTCCTCCCAATTTCTCTATTGATGATAAAAGCTGAAATTGTCCCTGCCCCCCAAGAAGATTACATTTTACTAGAGGGCAATAACTTATATAGTTTATATTTACTTATCTATGATATGTAGCACCTATGGGTACCATCCCCTGCGACTTGCAGGTGGATCTCCTAGACCTAACCACCCTCCCTAGAAAAGGCTGTGGTTCCATGTAACAAAAACAGTTCATAACCCTCAGTAACATGTTTACCTTTATTAGTTAGCCAGAGGACACAGTTAGTTCAAAGTGAAGGCATTTAACAGAATAGTAAGAAAAATAACAAAGTATTTGCCGCATAAACTCGGGATACTCTCCCACAAGTATTTACACTGTCTTTAGAATGAATGGGCACGTAGGGAACATGTATAGAAAGGCCTTCCAGGAATTTTGTACCAGTGAGGCCTCAGTCTTTGTCTCAGGACTTCCCCCAGCCTCTTATACCAGCCATGGTCTGGATGCCTGACTCTTGGCCACAAATTCTTCCTCCTGGGCCTACCCAACAGTGCGTTGCTTCAGCTGGGCTTTAGTCTTTGCCCCAGAGCCTTTCATAGCATCCTGCATCAGCCCCAGTCTTCCTCTACTTGGGACCTTCTGTAACACTCTAGAGTCCATCCCTAGGGCCAGAGCCTCCCCCACACTCTTATTTCTTCAGCCCTGCATTATCACCTCCTGCTTCCTGGGGCTTCATAGGATACCCTCCACCAAGCTGGACTTAAAGGGATAGCTTTGACCAGCCTAATCATCTGCTTCACTTAATGGACTTCTCCAACCACTGATACTGTGCCTGGATTTGTCTCTCGGTGGTTATTATACCCCTACCCCTTTATACTCTCCCCAGCCCAGTGATTCTGAACCCCCGAGCTGTCAATGTATCAACACTGTTCCTAATCCCCAACTTCCAGCTCCCTTATATCCATCCCCTTCAAGCCTACCTACTCCACCAAGGTTTCACTATGCTTTCTGATTGCTTTCTCCATAATTAGCAAACTTGCTTTCATTTTTAAGCTATTTCCTTTTTTTTTTTTTCCCCACTCCTACCATCTTCTGGCCCTCACTCAGACCTGATTCTCTCTTGATTGCTTCCCTGGCTAGCCTTTAAAGTACTGCTTGTTGACACTTACTAGCTGTGTGACACTGGGCGAGTCACTTAACCCCGATTGCCTCACCAAAAACAATAAAACACTGCTTGCACTTTCACTCATATCTCAAACTCACTGGTCGTTGTGTGACTGTTGGAACAGTCCTTCCTCCCTACTGCCATTCCAGACTCTCCCTCTGCTACTATCACTCCTAAACATCTGCTTTGAGGTTCACCCAATCTGTATCCTGGTAGCAATTATCTTTTGACACCTAGTATACTCTCCTTATGGGTGACTAGGTGGCCCAGTGGATAGAGTGATGGGCCTGGAATCAGGAAGAGTCATCTTCATGAGTTCAAATCTGGCCTCAGATGCTTAGACTAGCTGTGTGACCCTGGGTGAGTCATTTAACTCTGCCTCAGTTTCCTCATCTGGAAAATGAGCTGGAAAAGGAAATGGCAAACTACTCCAGTAACTTTGCCAAGAAAACCCTAGATGGGGTCATGAAGAGTCAGACATGACTAAAGAAGAAGAAACAAACAACCACCACCACCATAACATTTTCCTTGCTTCCTCAATGAGTTCAGTGCCCAGCTCACCATCTTTCTTTCTACCCCAACTCCTGCTGTCATACTAGGGGATATCAACATACATGTTGATGTTCCCACAACTACTCTAACTTCCTAGTTCTTCAGTTTAGTCAATTTCCATGACGTCCACTCTACCTTAGCTACAACAGAGGTCATAATCTTGACCTTGACATCTCACATGCAAGTGTTCCACTTCCATGTTCATGAACTCTGAAATTCCTTTATTTGATTATATATATATATATATATTATATATATATATATTATATATATATATATATATATATATATTTATCATTCCACCTTTCTCCATACCTTACAGCCCCTAAACCTCTTTCTTCTTCATCCCTACTATGACTTCCAAACCTTCAACTCCTCAGTTCTTTCCCGGTCCATTAGCCCTGCATTGGTTACATTCTCTTCCTTTCTCCATTTCTTCCCCTTGGTGAATCAGTTCAGCTGTATGATATCTTTTATGCTTGAATCTTTTGACCCCTTGTCCCATTGCCAAATGTACTGAGTCAAACTATGACCTTGGATTATGCCTAGTACTGTATTTCGCTTCATAATCGTCACAGATTTTATGCCAAAATTTTTTGCAAAAAAGTGAGGTGCGACCATTATGTAAAGCTTTAAAAATTGTGCCAATATTACTTAAAAATCATTTATTACTAAACTGTATTTGGTGCAAGATTAGGATGCGTGGAATACTCATGAATATACATTAAAATTGGGAAGATAAAAGTCTTACAATATCACGTGACTTATTCATGGCAGCTTTGCTTTCCCACCTACTCCTCTTGCGCCTATTCATTGGGTTGATTGACAATACTGTTAGTCCTGCAGCACTCTGAACAAACCACATAAGTTGGCTTTAGGAAATATGCTAACGATGCCTGTGCACTGAGAATTCTAGGCTCCTGGCTCACAATGCGCAAGAGATAAATGCATATCCATATACCACTGGTGAATACATTGCTGCTCTGTTTGCCTTTTAAGTGGTGTGATGAACAGATTTATACTATGCAACGATTACTCAATGAAAGGTTATAAACCAATTTCGGGACTGAGAAAACAGGGTGAGATGATTATGTGGTAGAGACGATTATGTGGTGAAATACAGTGCCCATCTCTTTTATTTCTATTCATGTCCTGCTGAATAGAAGTAGAAGAAATCATGAAATCATGTTGATTTGGTCCACTGTGAACTGATGTTATATAATTTATGTTACATAATCTCAGCTGGGTCCATAATAGGCAATTTTTAGTAAGGCAATTTTTTTATACCATTCTAATTGACTGACTATCCCACTCATGATAGTTGCTATTCCAAAATTTTTCATTCCTCTTTAAACATCTCCTGTAATTCCCTTCCCCATACGCTCAGCTAAGTACCTCAATTCATATTTTACAAAAAACGAACAAAAAACCTAAAACCAAAAAACAAACAAAACCTAACCCCCCCAAACCTGAAGCCATTTGCCAAGAATGCCCTGTCTTCCCCCTCACTCTCTTTTCCTTTGTCTCTATCTTACATGAAGAGGTGGTCCTCCTCCTGCCCAAGAGAAACCTTTCTATATACCGTACTCTTGATCCCATCCCCTCTTGCCTTCTCTAGCAGATTATCCCTTCTATGATCCCCATTCTCTCTCTAATATTTCATCTATACCTATGTACTGGCTTCTTCCCTGCTGCAAACAAACATGTCCGTGTCTCCGTAGCCTCAAAAAACCCTCCCTTGATTCAGTCATCCCCATGAACTATTGTCCTGTATATCTCTTCCTCCTTTTAGCTAAACTTCTCAAGAAAGCTGTCTATAATAGGTACCTCCACTTATCCTCTCATTCAGTTTTTTTTTGTTTGTTTGTTTTTGGGTAGGCAGTGGGGTTAAGTGACTTGCCCAAGGTCACATAGCTAGAAAGTGTTATATGTCTGAGGCCAGATTTGAACTCAGGTCCTTCTGACTCCAGGGCCAGTGCTCTCTATCCACTGCGCCACCTAGCTGCCCCTCTGTCATTCAGTTTTAAAGCCTATGCAGTCTACCATCCAGCCTCATCACTCAACTGAAACTACACTCTCCAAAGTTATTAGTAATCTGTTAACTTTAAATCTAATGGTGTTTTTTCATTCATTGTCCTTGAGACCTCTCTTTAGCCTTTGACGCTGTCGATCATCCTCTCCTCTCGGATACTATATCTCCTCTAGGTTTTCATGATACCACTCTCTCCTGGCTCTCCTCCTACCTGTCTCAGTCTCCTTTGCTGGATCTTTGTCCAGGTCACATCACTAATTGTGAGTGTTCCCCCAGCGTTCTATCTTGGGCCCTCTTCTCTTTTCCCTCTACTATCTCACTTCATCAGTGACGTCATCATTGGTTCAACTATCATCTCTATACATACGATTGTCAGAGCTATAGATTTGGTCTTTATCTCTCTCCTGAGCTCTGATCCAGAATTACCAACTGCCTTTTGGTTATCTCTAACTGGATGTCCAGTAGGCTTCTCAAATTCAACTTGTCCAAAATAGAAATTATCTTTCCCTCCAAACCCTCTCACCTTCCCAGCTTTCTCCTTCTTATTCTTGAGGACAGTACAATCCTTCCAGTCATCCAAGTTATCACTTCATGTTATGCTTGACTTCTTATATGTATTTACTTTGAGTAGCCAATCTCTTGTCAGATGTTTTTAACCTTCACAACATCCCTTGCATATGTCCTTTCTCTTCATTCACCCATTTTGCACTCTGGTTTAGGCCCTTATCACTTCACTCCTAGATCATTATCATAGCTTCTTTATTGGGTTCCTTATATCCTGTCTTTCCACACTTCAAACCACCCTCCACTTAGTTGACAAATGATTTTCCTAAA